AGAGAGAGAGAGAGAGAGAGAGAGAGAGAGAGAGAGAGAGAGAGAGAGAGAGAGAGAGCTTCAGTGCCATTCGCATTCGGAATGGAGGAAGCCACTCTTCTCACCTGAGAACCATTTGAGTTGCCCGAGTTCGCCATTGACAGAACACCTGCTCCTACATGTTTCTTAATGAAGTTCTCATCTTCAAACTTCGCACCATAGATAGACTCCCCGCCGGTTCCATTACCATTTGTGAAGTCTCCACCCTGCAAAGACCAGACAATCACATTGACAGCTGAACGCAATAGAATGTGATGACATGATGACAATGGATAAAAAGTTAAAGAGTAAGACTAAGTGATTTAGTGAAGCTTGTCCGACAGACACCATCCACAGAGGGAATCAGTATTTCAGCCCTAATATCAAATACTCCGAGTGATCAAACCCCGCACAGCAGATGAACACAGAAGCATCTCGAATTGCACTGAGGCTTAAAACTCCGCCTTCAAGTTGCCACACTACTCTGCTTCCCCATTTCACCCCAACCCCCCAACATCAATTTGAAACACCCCACCCCAACCTTTTTTCTCCGGAAAAACTTCGTTCTACTGTTCCTTCTTCGACACTTTGCGACTTTGCCCTCGCAAAGTATCTCTTCCTGCTAAGTCCACCTCCTACACCTCTGAAGTCATTCCCAAACTGTCACAGATCATAAAAAAAGACTACCATAGCCGAGTAGCAGTGTAGTGCCCAGATACGCCAATACCACAATGCTGTGCTACCACATCAGCTTTGCAGTCATATCAAGAATGAATGACTCCGGAGACACTGGAAGAGAGAGACTCGTCCGAGTCGTAACTCGGCATAACCAACCAGTCATTCTGGAGGAGCTGTGGAAAAGCCGACTGCATGATATATTAGGGCAGGCGCCAACTCAAGCTGACTGCATGATACATTAGGGCACGCGCCAACTCTTAGACCCTTCTCCCGGCCCATAGCCCGCAATCCGTGACCAGGACTGGTTGCCATTTACAGAACACAACGGTACCAACCAGTCATTTTGGAGGAGCTGCGGAAAAGCTGACTGCATGATATATTAGGGCAGGCGCCAACTCAAGCTGACTGCATGATACATTAGGGCACACGCCAACTCTTAGACCCTTCTCCCGGCCCATAGCCCGCAAACCGTGACCAGGACTGGTTGCCATAGCCCGCAAACCGTGACCAGGACTGGTTGCCATAGCCCGCAAACCGTGACCAGGACTGGTTGCCATTTACAGAACACAACGGTACCAATCAGACACATCTTGCTATGGAACTAGGCTCTCTATCAGCAAATGACAAACAATAGTACTTGTACATTCCGCCTCCTCAAGATTATCAATTCAGACTTCGCACAACCCAGAACATGTTCGGTAAACAAATGTCATGGCGACGGACAAAGTGTGCCCACCACCCTAGATTTGGGGCCTAGTTGGACTAGGCGCCATCCGCCAACATTTTGAATGCATGTGGATTCAAGTATGTCCAAATGCATTCAAAATGTTGGGCGATGGCGAGTGGCGCAACGAGGCCCTCAGAATTTGTGGTCCTATATTTCAAAGGCGAACACATATTACCAATCCTTGCCTTATTGTCGGATTGGCAATGTAACACTTGTTCAACGGCTGCTTGGTTGATATCCGTGCCATCCGCAAACACTATGCCCCTACTTCAATGCATACTCACGATATTGAGGAGAACGAGGACCATTTCAGATGTAAAGGTCATTGCTATCCTGCTTGCCAGACTAAATATGAGTGTGGTCACCAAAACTCCTGCTGTCCTAACGAGTGTAGCCTGCAAAATTACCGCTGTGTTCTTACACTGCGTTGCAATGAGTGTGGATTTTCGAAACGTGCCGTATGTAGTTACTTCAAACCACACCATATCGGGGAGATTTGCAACAACCAAGTGCCAAACATCATCGCTCTCCTGTAATCCCAAACTTCAGCTCCTCAAAACTTTGGTGGAGCTCAAGACAAACTTGCACTATCGGCATTGGTTCAACTCCCTTCAACCGGTCCTCCAATCACTATGAACACTCACAGATTTAGTTTCAATGTGATCGATCGCCCAATCACTGTCGTTACCATCATGTGTTTAAAATAGAGGTTAACACAGTAGTAGCTAGCCAAACCAACTCCCATCTCGACAACGTAAACTCCACCTATGGAGGTTGCACTCGCATTTCACAAAATGTCTCTCACCTGGTGCTGCCGTGCTCGACGCCCGGAATTCGACCTCTTCGTGCCATTGATCCGACCATTTCCAGTGGTTCACTTCCTTCTCCGACTCCCAATTCATCTCCGGCATGCATCACCAACCCTCAACGATCTATACAAGATTGTGAAGCCCTTCCATAAAGGGTGCGCTATGCATGCAAGGATCCGCCACGCTCCAGTACAGGTTCCAAAGAGCAGTCACTTCCCTATACGAAACAAGGTTCTATAGAGCATTCACTTCCCTATATGAAACAAGAGTAGTGGAGGCAGGGTGCCACCAACCTACGGGCAAACCAACGGGTCGTTCCCTGAAGTGTGCCAAATCGCCTCAGGCCCATGATTAAAGCACAAAAGATTTCAGAAATCTCACACATTGAGACCTACTAAACCAGCTTGCCTATCTAGAAGGGAGAGATGCTAACGATCACTAGCCTGCTTTTTCAAAACCCGCTCAACCGGCTTTTGAAAATCTGCATACAATCGCCCATAAACCCACTAGAGCTTGGGGCAAGCCCCTACACAGTGTTTGTCAAAACACTGAAAGCATAACCCCCAGGCATGTCTCAACTTCCCAAGTCATTATCAGCCATGTCCTAACGATGGCGATTTAACAACCAACGCCTAAGCCACTCCCCAACTAACACCGTGACAGCATTTATAACCAGTCATACTGTCATAGCCAATGAAACGTTGGAATAGGCACAAAGCTCTAAGGTTGTGCAAGAGCTTACTTCTCACGACAACCAAACTTGCTAGGCCGGAGGACCGGCTACAGAAAGCACATCGCCTAAACTGCACGCTTGCCCACTTGCATTCAAGTGTCAGCATTCTCCGAAAACATATTAAACGGTAAAAGGAAAAAGAAAAAGGAAAGGAGACGTCTAGCACCTACCTTCTGAATCACTGGTGGTACACTGACAGGGAACCCTTCAGCCCAAGGCTTTCAAACATGTACAAATATGTCCACATTCAAGCAGTCTTCTACCATCGGCCACAGAGCCAACCTGTCTTCAGCTCTGTTTTCATCGCTGCCAGTGGCCCCTGATAGAGCAATAAATCGCATTCAAGAATTGCTTCAGCAGCCAAAAAAAGCCCTGACAGCTGCCAGCGTGAAGCGACCACAGAATCGCAACCTGCTAAAGCATCTTCCCTCGAAGTTTCAAGGCCAGTCCTCAGAGGAACCTCCACACGCCTCCGGACCGCTCTGGAAACAAGCTACACAGTCGTGGAAGAGCCTGCAGGAGCATTCAAATTTCAAAAATCAAAAGCATGTGGTCATCGCCACCATGCAGGTGCATTCCCATATGGAAATAAAGCCTATGTATCTCGCAACCTGCTAAAGCATCTTCCCTGGAAGTCTCCAGGCCGATCCTCTGAGGAACCTCCACACGCCTCCAGACCGCTCTGGAAACAAGCTACACAGTCGTGGAAGAGACTGCAGGAGCATTCAAATTTCAAAAATCAAAAGCATGTGATCATCACCACCATGCAGGTGCATTCCCATATGGAAATAAAGCCTATGTATCTCGCAACCTGCTAAAGCATCTTCCCTGGAAGTCTTCAGGCCGGTCCTCTGAGGAACCTCCACACCCCTCCAGACCGCTCTGGAAACAAGCTACACAGTCGTCGAAGAGACTACAGGAGCATTCAAAGATCAAGCATGCGGTCATCGCCACCATGCAGGTGCATTCCCATATGGAAATAAAGCCTATGCATCTCGTGCCAACATCCGGGATGTGACTACTAACGGAGTGCATTTCTTAACACTGCACAACCAATTTCAGCCACTGGCAGTCTGGCAGCGGGAAAACGAGCACCACGTGATAGCATCACGTACTTTTTTTTTTTTTTGCAAGATAGTAACTATTTACACGAACTTCGGAAGAACGTATCATGAACTACCTACCGCTTACGAAACACAGCAACGAATGCCAATGACCAGATGCTCTAGCAAACAGGCAGACAGCGCCCAGAGAGCACTTCCACATGGCCAAGTCTGGCATGGCATGGCCTACACCTAGACCCTACCAGTAGCCTCGTTTACACCAGCCTGGGCCCACTTTGCATATAACGCTCTGGGACAAAGATGGTCAGGAGGGCCACCGAAATCAGCCTTCTCCCATGGTTAAGTTTCTGCTACAGTGCTTCGGCACGTCCCCTAAAATTGAAATGATACTAGCACAGCCCCCGTAGGCACAAATCGAAAAACAGTCCACGTCCCTTGTACAAGCAAATCGACAGATGGTCCATGAAAAGTGTGTGCGCGTGTGTTGGGGGGCGGTGGGGGCGGTAGAGGGAGCAATCTGATAACAAAATTCGGCAGAAATCGTTGTCACATGGTCCACAAAAAATTGGGGGGGGGGGGGGGGGGGGGGGGCAAAGAATCTGATCACAAAATTCACCAGACACTATTGTCACAAGGCTGTGTTCAACCCCCCGTGGGATTACATCCCAAACATAAGAATAAGGTAAAAAGCCTAGGAAGATTCTCACGCTCGGGCGTGACGCCCAGGGTACCCACCAGGTATGCAAAAAAAAAAAAAAGTCGTTAAAAAAAATCCAGAGGACCTCAAATCCGGGCCCATTTCTTTTGTCGGGAGTTGGCTGTCAAGGGGTGGAGGAGGGAGGGTATAAATTGGTTTTAAAGCGGCTATAAGGATTTAAAGGGGGGTGCCTTTGTGTGATTCTGTTATTTTCTTTTTTATCTCCGATTCTGTGCGGAATTCTAATATGACCCTCAGCCAAAGTCGTTTGTATTTCAATTCTACACAACACATTTGCTTCCCAGAATTTTCTGATTTTTTATTATTATTATTATTTTGCGCCGGGGCTGACCGGAACCTTGCCCGGAGGTCATGCCCGGCCGGCCACCAGGGCATATAAGTTGGGTCCCCAGGCGGCTGGAAAAACAGCCTAGCAAAAAACAGAAAAGAACTCCTGGTCCATATAGTGGACCAGGTGCATTCGTCAACCATTGCCAGCCGACAGCCTTTCACGAACCAGCATTCTATCACCAACAAGCCTGCAGCATGAACTGGGGGTCTATCGAGAACCGCCAATCAGAAGTGATGTTGGGGATAACGATCGTCGTGCAAGCCCCTTGCAACTCAGCAGCGTGACACTCGAGCCTAGAAAGAGGAAGAGTAAACGGAAAGACGGTGCAGTCAGAAAGACATGAAAGAACAGTACAAGCGCACGAGGTCCCGGCTGGTGGAAACTAAACAAAAATGTGGCAAAATAGCTTCAAGAAGGGGGTGGTGGTGGGGGGGGGGGGGGTATAATTCGATCAACTGAGTGAGATACATACGAACTGCTGTAAGCCTTATCTCTTCGGTTGTCAGGGAACCCAATGTCAGCCCTGACAGCAGTAGTGATGCCTCCACACACTTCAACCCTTGCTTGCAAAGCCGTCCACCATCCTCTCTGCACTTATTATTAACCTATCTTCTCCACCTTTGAGAGTCTGAACAGATTTTCTGACTGGATGCCCACATGTCACGGTCAAGGTTGCCACATAAACAACATGTGTGTTTGACAAACCATGCTCCTAAAAGCAGAAGAAAACAAAGAAATAAATGTTTCCAACCTCTACCGAGATCGATACCTTTACGCATAATCCGAGGCGCTGAACAAGACTGTGGCATCGACCAGCACAGAGCAACTGTGCAAGGCCAAGTAGAATGGAGAGAGCGAAGTGTGAGGTAGGTGGGTAGCTAGTATGAGGTGGACAAAATATTGAGAGAAGAAAATAGTCTAGTGGATACAGCTGTCCCCCATATGTGAGGAGGAGAAAGCTTAAAAAGAACACAAAGCACAAAGCCAAGAAAAAAGAACACCACAGTGGCTGCCACTGTGGTTTCCAGAGGGAGAGAGCAGCATGACCAAGTACATCCTGCTCATTGACAGAGCGCAACTGACAAACAACAGGACAATGAACTGTCAGCGAAAAGAACACTGCACCAGCCACAGAGGAAAAAAACGGCATAAAAAAAAGGCTCTGAATCTGCGGATAAGTTTTCACACGACTAGATCCATCTTCACCAGCAATCTTTTTATAAACTCAGGCCATACGGTCTCGCTGCACTTTTATCTACCCTCCACTCTCCGCTCTCCGAATTCGGAGAGTTTTTTCATCGCCGCACTAACTATCCTATTCCACCATCCAAAACCCCTCGGATAGCTGTCACAAACCTCCTTCGAAAGGCACTCTCCGCTGGCGGAGAGTGTCCAGCCAGCCTGCAACGCTGGTTTTTCAGATGGACCTCCACCGGACTCTCCAAAGGGCTCCCAATTTGGAGAGTGGGCCTGGAGTCTGGGCGGACAAATGCAAATCCCGCCGTGTCCTCTAGCGCTGTCACTGTGTCTGCTAGTGCACTCAAGACTTGAAGTCTCCGAAGGCGGATGGTTAGTGCAGCGGTGAACCCAAATTCACAAATTCGGAGAGCTTTTCAGCTCTCACCACCTCTCCGACTTTTCAGAGAGTCCAGAGTAGTGCAGCGAGACCCATACTCATGGCCTCGCCACACTACTCTCGAAATGTGCAAAATGAAAATGAACTTCCCGCTAGAACACAGCCAGATGCACCGGCCACATTTTTGTCTTTTGCACATTTCGAGAGTGGTGCAGCGAGACCCATACTCATCTCTGGACCAAATTACTATCAAAGCGTAATTGCAGTCAGATATATCCAAGAAAGTGCTTGTGTGCATACGCTCTCAGTTAGTTGCTAGTGTTTTTACATTTGCCTATCTTGTGAGAATCAATGCCTCTTATCTTGCAAGCAATGAGGGTTTGCCACACTACTCGATGACGAGAGAATTGGCGAGTGGATGGATAATCATGCACATGGCAAAATGATACATCGGCTACTATAAATAGTAGCAGATTATAAATAGTAGCGGATGCATCTTGGCAATTTCTCTGTGCAGATGCACTTGAGATTTTCGCGTTTTGTCAGTAACATGGTGAGGCGCATGGAAAGAACATCCTCTTTTAGGATAACCGTCTAGTCCTGGATTGAGCATAGCCTATCCATAGGGCCTCGCTCCACTGCACAGCACTCTAAATGCATTTGGACGCTTCTGGACCAGATGCGTTCCCACAAGATCAACAGTCAGAATGTATGGGGTCTAGAAAGTAGTCCAAATGCATGTAGAGTGTCATGTACTGGAGCGAGGCCACGGGAAGATGGTAGCGCTGACATCCGAAATCAAAATTCGGTTGAGACTCTTGAGAGCACATCATAAACACCAAAAATAAATCATTGAAAAATGATAGTACGTATTAACACCATTAATAAATTTTCACAAAAAAAAGTGAAAATAATTTTTTCTTTTGTTTAAACCACCACCACTCTAACGGCTTCCGCACTGTTCATTTTTCTTTCCTACGCGTACTGGCCAAAATCTACCGTGCCAGGCCCAGTAGCAGTTCAGCGGGGAAGCGTACCACAACTATTTTCCTCACTGCAGCACAATCGATGTAAGCCTTGGAGAAATGCAACTTTTGTTTTGTCAAAATAAGTTCGGATGAAGGAGAGATGGTCAATGAAAGGCCCAAAATTCGGGGTTTATCACCGCATCACCACATACAATGTCCTCAAAAATTTCACGACCAACCAATGCAGGATCATAATACAAACATTAAAAACATCAAACAGGCAAAAAGAAAAGAAAAGAAAAATTCTCAAAAACACTATATAATAAAAGTTATAAAACCCTATTCGGAGTAGCTTTTCGTAGTTCGCCAAATGATTCTCCAAATTCGGTGTTTTTGCTACTGAAACTTTTTTGTTACTGGTCCAAATACGTTGAAACTGAAATACAGATATACCCTGAAGAACATACATATTCGGTGAAAAATTCGCCAAAAATGACACCACCAAAACAAGCAGGAGGACGCAAGCTTTACAAGCAAATTCGCACGAGTAAAGGGGTGCAGACAATTATAAAACAACCCACCTGACACATGAAGTCTGGAATAACTCTATGGAAAGTGCTCCCTTTGTAATGCAATGCCTTCCCCGACTTGCCTATACCTCTTTCACCTGCAGTGACAAGAACAGATCGGTCGAGCTCATGATTCAACAAGCTTCCAGGCTGCTCCTCCCCTCTTCAAAAGCCCCGAGGAAACACAACTGCTGCCCATCACCAGCCAACACAGTCACGGCCACCACCACCACTCCAATCTATAGGGTGAGGTTAACACCCCAGCATACATCTGCACATTTACTCAGCAGGCAAGCACTACCGAAAACACTAACTAAAAAAAAAAAAAAAAACACTAACAAACGAACGTTCCAACAAACGTCATTAGATTATCACAGATAAAGCAATGAACACCACGAACATCATAAGATGGCCAAAGACAAAACAATGTACACCATCATCTTCTGGCACTTCCTGAAGAATTCCATGCTTGGCCGATAGCACGATTGGCAGCAGTGACACAAGTCCAGATGCACTACGTGCATGGAATCAATTAATATCGGGGGTGGTCGGTTGGACATCTGAAGGCTCTCGCTTTTTTAAAAGCGTTTTTTGTCAGGAAAAAAAAAAAAAAAACTGTAAGAGGATGGTAAATACAAGATACTAAACAGTGTCTCCCTCTTTCTTTTCCTTCTTTTTTTTTTTGTTTTTTTTTAACGTTGATAAACTCTCACTACCAGAAGCCAAGTCTATCAGCAGGTGTCAAGTCCCACTAGCCGCGTTGAATTTCCTCAACGCCTGAATCTGGACACATTTGCGGAGAGGTGCGGTTGAGGAAACTTGACGCCATTTCTGCACATCTCCTGCTAGTGGGACTTGCCCCCAGGTGTTGTATTTGTCTGCAAGCAATCATCAGGTACGGGCCTGGCTGCGCTCCTCCGCAAATCTTTTAAATGGCAGGTGTGTCCTCAGCTTGGGGGGGAGGGGGGGAGGGAGGCGGGGGGGGCGGAACACTCGCCAATGTAGTCGCCATACTTTTCTTACTTTGCCGAGTGTGAACGAGACCCCTACGCCAATGTAGTGTTCTTTAGCCGAGTCCCGGTCAAAAAAGATCAGAAGTAGGATCAGAAGAAGAAAGGAGGAGGATAAGAGGCTCGCAAAAACACAAAGCAGAACAACAGAGCAGGCAAGAAGAATAACCATGCAATACAGATGAGAAAGGGTAAAGTGCACTGTTAGAAATATAGCAAAGAGAATTGGATTAACCGCCTGAATCTGGACGTGTATTACGCAAAGATGCAGAGAAGCAGATCGACATCGACTTTCTGCACCCTTTTCACGAACGCGTCCAGATTCGCACGTTCAGTCCAATCCTCTTTGTTAGCGGGGACCTCCGGCAAGGAGAGAGAAGTCTGCAGATCATCATTCATTCGTAAACTGGCCGTTGAAGAAACTAAATGCAGGAATAAAACTGCCCGTCAAAGAAAATAAACACCATAACAATCAGCACCACTAACACGGGCGGGGGCTTTTGCCAAAAAAAAAAAAAAAAAAAAAAAA